ACTGAAGCCCCCTACCAATCAGAGCTTGGCACCCACACTCTACTAGTGCTAATGAACTTTCTGGAAAAAACAACACATAACATTTCTCCTTTTTTGCTTTTTGGAGACAGGGTCTGGCTCTGTCACTCAGGCTGGAGTGCAGGGGTATAATCATGGCTCACTGCAGCCTCAACCTTCTAGCCCCAAGCGATCCTCCGTCTTCAGCCTCTCAAGCAGCTGGGACAACAGGCTGGGGCCACTGTGCCCAGCTAATTTTTAATTTTTTTGTAGAGATGGGGTCTCACCATATTGTCCAGGCTGGTCTCAAACTCCTGGGCTCAAGTGATCCTCTTACCTCTGCCTCTCAAAGTGCTGGGTGAGCCATCACCCCTGCCAACATTTCTCCTTTCTATGAAACCTCCACTCTGTTCTTTGGACATATTGACCACTCAGTTTCTTCGTATGCGCAAAATGGCAATTTTGATATCCCAAATAATGAGAAATTTAGAGATTTGCCTCTATATTTTAATTTTGACTTTGATATACAAGTTACTAATTGCAACTGTAACACAATGGTATTTGTATATCTAAACATACAAAAGGTACAGTAAAAACACAGTATAAAAGATAAACAGGCTGGGTGCAGTGGCTCACGTCTGTAATCCCAGCCACTCAAGGCTGAGGCAGGAGGATCGCTTGAACCCGGGAGGTTACAGTGAGCCAAGATTGCACCACTGCGCTAAAGCCTGGGCAACAGAGCAAGATCCCTTCTCAAAAATAATAATATAAATAAACAGTGCTTGCTTTGGCAGCACATATACTGAAATTGGAACAATATAGAGACTAGCACAATGTGGTGGCTCATGCCTGTAATCCCAGCACTTTGGGAGGTGGAGGCAGGCGGATCACCTGAAGTCAGGAGTTCAAGACTAGTCTGGCCAACATGGTGAAACCCCATCTCTACTGAAAATACAAAAATTAGCCAGTCATGATGGCAGGTTCCTATAATCCCAGCTACCTGGGAGGCTGAGGCAGGAGAATCACTTGAACCCAAGAGGTGGAGGTTGTAGTGAGCAGAGATTGTGCCACTGAACTCAGCCTGGGTGACAGAGTAAGGCTCCACCTCAAACAAACAAACATTTAAATGGTATACTTGGATGGGGCTCTTACAGGACTGGGAGTTGTTCTGAATGGGCGGGTGGGTGAGTGCGTGAGTGGGCAGTGACTATGAAGGTTTAGGACATCACGGTATTGGAGACTTTATAAACACTGCACACTTTGGCCACACTAAATTTATAAAAAATAATTTTCATTCAATAAAGAGCTAACTGTAACTTCGTACTTTAACTTTTTGACTTTTTCATAATACTTCAACTACAAATATATATCCTTATTCTTTAAGCTTTTTTTTGTTGTTGTTAATGAGTTTGTTATGTTGCTCAGGTTGGCCTTGAACTCATAGCCTCGCCTCCTCAAGCGCCAGGACAACTGGCCGGAGCCACCGCAGCTCCCATAAGCTTTTTTCTATTGACAATTCTTTTAAATTATTGAGACAGAGTCTCGCTCTGTAGTGCAGTGGTACAATCCTGGCTCACTGCAACCTCCACCTCCTGGGTTCAAGCAATTCTTGTGCCTCAGCCTCCCAAGTGGCTGGGATTACAGGTGTCCCCCAAAAGGCCTGGTGAATTTTTTTTGTATTTTTAGTAGAGACGGGATTTCACCATGTTGGCCAGGCTGGTCTTGAACTCCTGGCCTCCCAAAGTGCTGGGATTATAGGTGTGAGCCACTGCACCTGGACAATTTTCTTTTTTTTTTACTTTTAAATTTTTTTGGTTAAAAACCAAGACACAAACACACACATTAGCTGAGACCTACCCAGGGTCAGCATCTTACTGTCTTCCACCTCCACCTCTTGTTTCACTGAAGGTCTTCGGGGACAATAACACGCATGGAGCTGTCATCTCTTGATGGCAATGCCTTCTTCTGGAATTCCCCCTGAAGGACCTGCCTGAGGCTGCCTTACAGTTAACTTGGTTTTTATAGGCAGGAGTGCACTCTAAAATAATGAGAGCTGGGTGCCGTGGTTCATACCTGTAATCTCAGCATTTTGGCAGGCTGAGGCAGGGGAATTGCTTGAGCCCAGGAGTTCAAGACCAGACTGGGCAACATGGTGAGATCTCATCTCTACAAAACAATTAAAAAATTAGCTGGGCATGGTGGCATGTGCCTTTTGGTACCAGCTACTTGGGAGGCTGAAGTGAGCCATGATCACACCACTGCACTCCAGCCTGAGCAACAGCCTATCTGTAAAATATAAAATAAAATGATAAAAAGTAAATACAGGCTGGGCTTGGTAGCTCACGCCTATAATCCCAGCACTTTGGGAGGCCAAGGCAGGTGGATCACCTGAGGTCAGGAGTTCAAGACCAGCCTGGCCAATGTGAAACCCAGTCTCTACTAAAAATACAAAAAATGAGCTGGGCGGGGTGGTATGCACCTGTAATATCTGCTACTTGGGAAGCTGAGGCAGAATAGCCTGAACCTGGGAGTCAGAGGTTGCAGTGAACAGAGAGTACGCCACTGCACTCCAGCCTGGGCAAATGAGACTCCATCTCAAAAAAAAAAAAAAAATAAGTAAATACATAAGCCAGTAACCAAGTCATTAGTAATCATCAGGTATTACGTACTGTACATAATTGTGTGTGCTGTACTTGCACACGGCTGGCAGCACAGTTTACACCAGTATCACCACAAACACGTGAGAAGTGCATGCACTGTGCTACTTTCCAACAGCTACAAGGTCGCTAGGCAATAGGACTTCTTCAGCTCCACCGTAATCTTCTGGAACCGTCTTCATACATGCAGTCCGTCATTGATCAAAATGCTCTATGCAGCACACGCCTATATTGCTGTAAAAGTCGATCATGACATTTTGGGAAATACATTCCAGCAACATATTTGAAGAATAAAACACCATAACCAAGGGAGATTTATTCCAGAAATGCGTTCATTCAATTTTAAGAAATCTCTTACTATAATTCATTGTTGAAAGACCAAAAAAGAAAAATATGATAACTTCCAGAGATGCCGAAAAGGTATCTGATATAACTAAACTGCTCTTGGCCGGGCTCTGTGGCTCATGCCTGTAATCCCAGCACTTTGGGAGGCCAAGGTAGGCAGATCATTTGAGGCCAGGAGCTGACGACCAGCCTAGGCAACATGGAAAACCCATCTCTACTATTAACAAAAATACAAAAAATTAGCCAGGAATGGTGGCACAGGCCTGTAATGCCAGCTACTCTGGAGTCTGTGGCAAAAGAATTGTTTGAACCTGGGAGGTGGAGGTTGCAGTGAGCCAAGATGGCGCCACCGCACTCCAGCCTGGGTGACACAGTAAGACCCTGGCTCAAAAAATAAATAGAATTAAACTGCTGTTAATTATTCTCATTCAAGTCAGGAAAAGTAAGAATATTGACTGTAATCATTAACATTGTCCTACGGATACTAACCAATGCATTTAGAAAACAGGAAGAAATTTGTACGCTGTTTGGAAGGCATGAAGTGAAATTACCCTTACTTGCAGTTGAAATGATTATCTGGAAAACTCGAAACTATCAGAAAACAAATAGAAACAATAAGAGAATACAGAAGGGCAGTTGGGTCCAAAACTAATATTCAGAAATCATAGCATTGCCCCTTAACTGCTATGTGGCATTTTTACTATGTGAATAGTGTATGTATATATCCCTATCATATTGTGACAAGCAAATCAGTTTCCTGGGTGTAAGTATGGGGTGACTGGCCGGGAAGGGGCCCACAGGAACTGTGGTTAGTGTGATGACATGGGCAGTGCATTGTCAAAACTCACGGAATTGCACCCTTACAATGCTTGCATTTTATTGTATGTAATTTAATCTTCAGTTAGGTTTATTTTAAAGTATACTGATAATGGTATTTCAACATAATTATTTCTTCCATAATTTTATGCTTTTATCAGTGGCAATCTTTTTCATCCAAGGAGGGACAGATGAGCTTCCTTGCCACCCGCTGTTGGAAGGTGACTCTAGTCCAGTCTTCCACTGACAGCAAACCCTTCAAGTCCTGGATTTGAACAGATCAGCCTCCCACCTTGTGCTGTTCCAAAGCCACAGCTCCTCATGCACGTAAGGCTCAAAATAGTCCAAGACTAATACTTCACTTTGTGGGGAAGCCAGAAAACCAGTGCATGGGCTTCCCTACCTGGTTCTGTTTTCTTTTGCTCTTTTTCTAGGGATTTCTTTTCTGTGAACACAGCTGTATATTAGAATTTTTTTTTTTTTTTTTTTTTTTGAGACAGAGTCTCACTTTGTTGCCCAAACTGGAGTACAGTGGCACAATCTTGGCTCGCTGCAACCTCTGCCTCCCAGGTTCAAGTGATCCTCCTGCTTTAGCCTCCCGAGTAGCTGGGACTACAAGCATGTGCCATCACACCGGCTAATTTTTGTACTTTTAGTAGAGGCAGGGTTTCACCATGTTGGTCAGGCTGGTCTCGAACTCTTGATCTCCTGATCCGCCCACTTAGCCTCCCAAAGTGCTGGATTACAGGCATGAGTCACTGCACCCGGCCATTGGCTCACGCACCAGGCCACTGGCTCACGACTGTAACCCCAGCTGAAGTCGTGGATCACCACGTGGGAGGCTGAAGCAGTTGGATCACCTGAAGTGAAGAGTTCGAGACCAACCTGACCAACATGAAGAAACCCCATCTCCACTAAAAATACAAAAATTGGCCGGGCGTGGTGGCACATGCCTGTAATCCTACCTACTTGGGAGGTTGAGGAAGGAAAATTGCTTGAACCCGGGAGGCATAGGTTGTGGTGAACCGAGATCGCACCATTGCCTGAGTGACAAGAGCAGAACTCTGTCTCAAAAACAAACAAACAAACAAACAAACAAACAGAAACCAATTATCTTGATGAATTCAGAAGTCCAATAGGTTTACAAAGCTTTTTAAAATTGTGAAATATTTCAGACACAATCAGTTTTATTTTTATGATTACTTTTTTAGCTATACCTTCTGGGACGGGAGAGTTCCAAAAGTTAATTGTTTTGGATGTTGCGGTCTTTAACTCAATATTTCTGCTCTGCCAGTGCTGCACTAGAAATGGGAGAGCAGGGAGCAAGGGCTAGAGCGGGACACGGCATAAACGTTCTGTGAGCCAGAATAAGAACCCAGATTGGAATCAGCTGTGGTTGTTAACCTGTCTTTTTCCTCTAAGGAGAAATTGTCGTTTTAATAAAACCAAGGCTCAGAAATGCTAAACCGCCACCCCAATGTCATGAAACCAATCAGCCACAGCCGGGTGACTGAGTACCGAACTTCCCTTCTCTGGAAGGTACTGAGAAGGCTAGATAAGGTTCTGTATACTCATGACCTACAGATGTGTCATTTCTCTGGACACAGACCCTGGGAACACATGGCAGGGCTGGGGGCGGTCACATACACAGCTTCCTGCCCACGTGGGCTGTATCTTGATTGGCACCTGCCTCAGTTGAGCCATGCATTTCACATCCAGCCAGGACAGTTCCATTTCCCTTTTTGTTATGTCTCATGAGTGTGAGAAATTTCTCCCATCTAGGTCTCTCCATCCCATTCTCCCAGATGGCCCATACAAGTTACTGATTCAAATGCACCAATAAAGATTTCTGTTTGGGAGGGATCTGGGTGCGTGGTCTGACTTTAGAGGGAAGGCTGGCTTGCACTGGCCAGGTGAGTACCTGCTCACCACCAAGCTGAGATGCAGGCCCAGGCTCCTGATGCTTGGAGGTCTAGCTGGACTTAAGGGACTATACAACCCTGTCAGCCACTTCCTCTAGGCTGAAGGTCCTCACCACACCCCAGCACAGAGACATCCCCAGGCTTGTTGTGTCTGCAGCTGTGGGTGGAAGAGCTGCCTGGAACCTGCTGGCATTTCTCTGAGTCCTTCCTCGCTCGGACTCCTCAGCTTCGGCCTACCAAGCTGGGGTGCTCTCCTGGCTTCTCCTGCTAGGTGGCCCTGTCCTCTCTGCCTTGTCTTGCCTTTAGGCATCAGCTTGTCAGGGGCAGGCCAGCCCACATGTGGGATCTCCACCCGGAATCTTTCTGTCTGCCAACCCTTTGCCAACTCTCAGGGCAGGGAGGGAAACCTCACTCTCCCCTCCTCCAGGGGCTGACCGCTCCTTTTGCTCGGTTATTTTCCACAGAGGCTGCGGGTAGGCTGTGTCGGACGTACACCCGGCTGCCTGAAATAGAATGCACAGCCATGATGTATCCCTGCCAGGTCCCATTGCCACTGAACAATGGGACTCATTTCCAAGAGCCGGAATGAGAACCTAATTGGAGTCAGCTGTGGTTGTCAACCCTGTCTTTTTCCTCTAGGGAGAAATTGTCATTTGAATGAAACCAGGACTCAGAAATGTTAAACAACTGTCCGATGTCATCAAACCAATCCGCCACAGAAGTGGAAACTAATATTGGCACTCAGGCCTGAGCCACAGAAAATCTCCTTTCCCTCAGATGCATCTTCCTGGGTTGAAGTCCAGCTCCTAGGCTCGCTCATGTGGGCCTGCTTGAGCAGATCAGGGAGACCCAGAGCCCGGGTCCAGGCAGAGGCTGCCCAGCTCTCAACTGACCTCCCGTGTTGGGGTGCTGCATCCGCCTGGCAGGCTGAGGACAGGCAGAGCCCAGATCACTGGGTCCATTTGGCACAGACCCAGGGTCTTGGAGCGCTGCAGTTTGCAGCGACCAGCGTGCCTTCCTCCAGGGCCCCGCAGTTGATATCCAGATTGTTCTCTCCATCCTCGGGGAGTCTGGGGAACGGTGGGAGGGGAAAGAGGAGAGATGTTCAGGGTGCCGGGGCCTCACTTCCCAGCCAGACCCTCCAGCCCATGTGCCTGTCACCTCCACCAGCCTGCGCACTGAGCGAGGCTGTGCACTGGTCAGCCACGTGACACTGGATGAACCCCCAAACCTCCCTGAGCAGCTCACCCTGCATCTGTAAAACACGGTGACAACCTTGCTTGGGTGAATGTGCTGGGAGCCCAAATAAGGAATGGAGTGATAGGAACTAAGCAGGTGCCAGGCCATGGGCATGGGTGTGGGTTGTTTTTGGAGTGGCACTCCAGGCAGGGAGAGTAGCAAGGAGGCAGAGCATGGGGACAAACAGAGGATCTGAGGAGGGAGAAAGCCTGCGGTCACTCACAGCTGGGATGGCAGGGGGACCCCATCGATCCAGTGCCAGCCTTGGGGGCCTCGCCGGACCCCCACCCAGGAGTGCTTGGAGACTGGGTATCTGCTCAGAAGGTCCTGAAGGAGAAAAGTAAGCTGGTCATTCCCCTGGACCCTGGTGTGGCTCACCTGGGCCGTATAGGTTCCCCAGGGCTCCCACAGGACCCCAGCCGGCCAATCCAGAAGGATCTGCTCAAGCCAGTGCTTGCAGAACAAAACAACTTCAAAAGCTGGACTGCATGCCTGCTGGGTGCCAGGCGCTGTGCTTAGGGCTGGGGGCCAGAACATGTGAACATCAAATACCACTAAGCAATGCTCAATGGGTGTTGAGTGGGCAAAGAAACAAGGAAGCTCAGAAAGCGAGGGAGGTGACTGGGTACAGTGGCTCATGCCTGTTACCCCAGCACTTTGGGAGGACGAGGCTGGCAGATTACCTGAGGTCAGGAGTTTGAGACCAGCCTGTCCAACATGGTGAAACCTTGTCTCTACTTAAAAAAAAAAAAAAAAAAATATATAATATATATATATATATATATATATATATAATTTTGCCAGGCGTGGTGACAGGCACCTGTAATCCCAGCTACTTGGGAGGCTGAGGCAGGAGAGTCGCTTGAACCTGGGAGGTGGAGGTTGCAGTTAACTGAGATTGCGCCTGCACTCCAGCCTGGGCGATGAGAGGGAAAACTCCATTTCAAAATAATAATAATGCATGTAGACATGCAGGAACAACAAAAATCAAAATAACGGAGAGCTACTAGAGATCTTCTTTTTCATATTTGCCCTCAATGTCGCATTATTTTTAACAGTGAATTAAAGCAAAAAAGAAATACTTTAAAATGTACATTTAAGATTTGTTTTCTTTTTTTTTTTTTTGAGATGGAGTTTCATTCTTGTTGTCCAAGCGGGAGTGCAATGGTGCGATCTCAGCTCACTGCAACCTCAACCTCTCGGGTTCAAGCAATCCTCCTGCCTCAGCTCCCAAATACCTGGGATTACAGGCATGCGCCACCATGCCCAGCTAATTTTGTATTTTTAGTAGAGATGGGGCTTCTCCTTGTTGATCAGGCTGGTCTCGAACTCCCAACTTCAGGTGATCAAACTGCCATGGCATCCCAAAGTGCTAGGATTACAGGTGTGAGCCACCACACCTGGCTGAGATTTTTTTTTTTTTTGAGATGGAGTCTCACTCTGTCACTGAGGCTGGAGTGCAGTGGCATGATCCCAGCTCACTGCAGCGTCTACCTCCCAGGTTCCAGTGATTCTCCTATCTCAACCTCCTGAGAAGCTGGGATTACAGGTGTGTGCCACCACACCTGGGTAATTTTTGTATTTTTAGTAGAGACAGATTTTGCCATGTTGACCCAGGCTGGTCTCAAGCTCCTGGCCTCAAGTCATCTGTCCACCTCAGCCTCCCAAAATGCTGGAATTAGTGGCATGAGCCACTGCACCTGGCCAAGATTTTTTAACTTGGAAAAAAGAAGTGTAAATATTGCAAGTCCCAGGGTGGGGGCCTGGTGGAGGTGGCAGCGATGCTGACACAGCCTGTATCATCAGCTTGGTCTCTCTGCAATGTCATTGGCCTCGATGTAGAGCAGCACCACCACTCCTCCTCCTGCTCAAATGGGTGATTTAGCTGAGAAATAAATCCAAGAATATAAAGGGAAAACATGAACTTATCTTAAGATAACACAGTGCTATTTGTGAAGAAAAAAATGGAAACTCCCCAAACGCTCAGCAATCGAGAAATAACTAGGTAAATTACAGGATGTCAACATGATGGAAAATTATAGTGCCATTAAAAATGACAAGTGTATAGAAAATGTCAGTATGCAGGAAAACATCAATATGAAATCATGCCAAATGAAAAAAGAAGACTACACTAGCGAGTACATCACTCACAACAGTGTCAAGAAGCACATATTCACACTGATGCTGGTTAGGAGTGGAGTGTAAATGAATTTCACATATGCTCAGTTCTTCTTCCCCAAGAACATGGTTTAAGTCAACAAAGACAAGCCCTGGAATTAGCAAGCAAGCACTGGAGTGATGACTGTCCCATTGGTGCCACCTCCTCCATCCCTCAGATGTTAGCTAAAGGTTGCTTTTCCTACAGACACTGGGCTGACCCTCTCCAAGGTGAACTAGGTACTCCTTCCTCTCCTTGGCTTCCATCACCTTCATAGAATAGAGCTGCCTCTTTATTTTTTATTTCATTTTTTTTGAGACAGAGTCTTGCTCAGCCACCCAGGCTGGAGCACAGTGGCACGATCTCAGCTCACTGCAACCACCATCTTCCGGGTTCAAGCAATTCTCCCATCTCAGCCTCCTAAGTAGCTGGGATTACAGGCACTCACCATTGTGCCGGGCTAATTTTTATATTTGAGTAGAGATGGCATTTCACGATGTTGGCCAGGCTGGTCTTGAACTCCTGACCTCAGGTAATCTGCCGGCCTTGGCCTCACAGAGTGTTGGGATTACAGGTGTGAGCTACCGTGCCTGGCCTCTCTTATTTATTTGTATATTTATTTATTTTTGAGATGGAGTTTGGCTCTTGTTGCCCAGGCTGGAGTGCAATGGTGTGATCTTGGCTCACTGCAACCTCTGCCTCCGGGTTCAAGTAATTCTCCTGCCTCGGCCTCCCAAGTAGAATGACAGGCATGCACCACTGCGCCTGGCTAATTTTGTATTTTTAGCAAAGAAGGGGTTTCTCCATGTTGGTCAGGCTGATCTCGAACTCCCAACATCAGGTGTTCTGCCCGCTTTGTCCTTGCAAAGTGCTAGGATTAAAGGCATGAGCCATTGTGCCGAGCCTGTCTTTTTTATTTAGGAGACATGGTCTCACTATGTTGCTCAGGCTGGCCTTGAATCCCTGGGCTCAAGTGATGCTCCCACCTCAGCCTCTGAAGTAGGTGGGATTATAGGAGCCGACAAACATGCCTGGCTAATTTTTGTACTTTTAGTAGAGGCAGGGTTTCACCATGTTGGCCTGGCTGGTCTCAAACTCCTGACCTCGTGATCTGCCCGCCTCAGCCTCCCAAAGTGCTGGGATTACAGGTGCGAGCCACAGTGCCCAGCTGAGCTTGTCTTACTCAATATCACACTATGATAACCCTGCGCACAGTAGGTCAGCTCAGTGAAACTGCCTCTCCACACTCACTGCCAAAAATCAGTGAGCGCCACAGTGAGCCCAGGCCATCAGGCCACTGTGTGTCAAACCCATCTTCTGCTCCTCAAGGCTAGCACCCACCAGTTAACAGCCCAGAGAGAAGCCAGGGGCAACTTCCAGGCTGAAGGTTGACAATTTTACCCTTCTTGAATCCTAAAGACCAGACTGCGTAGGAAAATGGAAAGTGGTTAGTGCGCTGAACAGAGAAAGCACACTGAGGCCCAGGGTAGGGCTTGGCGAGGGGCCCTGGAGAGGATGGGAGGAACCCAGGCTGCGCTGAGGTGTGACTCAGAGGGCAGAGTGGCCCAACACCATCCTCCTGGGAGCAGTCGCCTGTTTGGGAAGGCACACCAGGGCTCAGTGTCTCTCCCAGAGCTGAGATGGGGCAGGGCAACCCCGTATGCAAATTCTGGCTCTCTGACTTGTGAGCCACGTGACAAGTTACCCAACGTTTTAGAGCCACAGCGTGGTCCTCTGTAAAATGAGGATGCTTGTGATGAGGCTTGAGATAATAACATATAAAGCCAGGGTCACCTAGACACACTTATTCCAAGTCCTCTCCCCTCTGACGTGTGGCAGGCAAAGCTCGTGCCCTGCCCCCAACACACATGAGCTTGGATGTTTCCAGCAACCCCAAGAGGATCCTGCCCTTCTGTTATAGCCCCAGGCCTTCTGGCTCTTTCTCCCTTTCCCTCTGGCCCTTCCCTACCCTGCCTAGCCCCAGCCACTCCATTCCGTTCTTTTCCTTGCAGTTGAGACTCCCAATCTCAATGTTAGCAAAAATGGTGGTGTGGGGAAGGCATTGTTCCGAGTTATAAATGAACTCCAGGAACCTCTAAGTAATTTATGGCTCAAAGGACTGCTCTGTGCAAAAGATCCGGAGTCCTCCTTAAGTTGCGGATTCTCCAGCTCTTCCACTAATAAGAGGAGAAGGAATGTGATCCTGAGCAGAGCGGACTGAAATCTCACATTTTACATCTTATAATTATAGAAAATTATTTGTTATGCCTTCATACATTTCTTTTTTAAAAATTGTGATAAAAGATTCATGGCCTTCCTCTTGACCGTTGTCAAAAAAATAATAATAATATAAAAAAAAATCAAGGCCAGGCATGGCAGCTCAGAGCTGTAGTCTTAGCACTTTGGGAGGCTGATTAGGGCAGATCACTCAGGCTCAGGAGTTTGAGACCAGCCTTAGTAACATAGTGAAAACCTGTCTCTACAAAAAATACAAATATTAGCTGGGTGTGGCATACTCCTATAGTCCCAGCTACATGACTACTCAGGAGGCTGAGGCCGAAGGATGGCTTGAGCTCAGGAGGTCGAGGCTGCAGTGAGTCACGATCGGCACCACTGTGCCCCAGCCTGGGTGACAGGGCCAGAACCTGTTTCAAAAAAAAAAAAAAAAATTATGACATAAAATTTACCATTTTAACCATTATAAGTGTACAGTTCAAGGGCATTAAGTATATCCACATTGTTATGAAACCATCATCATCAACCATCTCCTGAATTTTTCATCTCCTGGAACTGAAGCTATCCTCATTAAACAACTCCCCACCCCTCACTGCCCCAGCAACTGCCACTCTACTATCTTCATACCTGTTTTAATATTAAAATGTTTCAAATTACTTTTTTGAGATAGAGAGTTTCACTCTTGTTGCCCGGGTATAATGGCGTGATCTCGGCTCACTGCAACCTCTGCCTCCCTGGTTCAAGCCATTCTCCTGCCTCAGACTCCCGAGTAGCTGGGATTACAGGCGTGCACCACCATGCCCAGCTAATTTTATATTTTTGGTAGGGATGGGGTTTCTCCACGTAGGCCAGGCTGGTCTTGAAACCTCAGGTGATCCGCCCCACTTGGCCTCCCAAAGTACTAGGATTACAGGCATGAGCCACTGCAACCAGC